GAAGAGCTTCGATATATCGTATTTCCGTAGATCTACCGTGAGTCTAAAATGATCGATGTTAATCATTTCTGATGTGAAATTCAACGCTCTTTCAGAATCCGCCATTAACTTTTACATGTGAGCAGCCGTTTCAAAGAAAAATGGGCATTTTCGGGAAAAAACTGAAATTTCCGTAAATGCCCGTTTTTTCGGCGGCCATTTTGAGGGGTTCAAAGTCGTTTTACAAAAAAATTCATAGAAGTCATTTTTATTGGAAATTTTATGAACTTTTATTCACTAGGTAACTCATTTTTCGCTAAAACCAATTCCTTTTGAGATATTTACGAAAAACCGAGGAAAGGTCGATTTTTTGGGGGTTTTGGGGGGGGGGCGGGGGGTCGAGCGTACAGGGGATTCTTGGGGACTTTTTACTGGGAGTCCCTGGCACCCCAATGAACAACTTGGGCACATAAAACCTTATATATACATTTTTTTTTCTATTTTTCCCATAATGCCTGGACTATGTATCAAAATGAAAACTGAAAAGCTTATAATGCTATGAAATCCTAACCTTCACTGGTGGTATACCAAGATGGATCACCAGTTCTTAGCTCTCAGTATGAGTACTTCTTCAATGTATTTTAAATTTTAGCCTTTAAAAGTATTGTTTTCTTTTGAATTTAAATTGGTCTGTCGCACACAAGAGATACAACCGAATAAACATACTCTTCATGAGTAACCCCAAAAAAAAAAAAAGTTTGGCACTTTATAAAAGTTTGAAATCCATTTCTAAGCCCGCAATCTGCTTAGTTTGTAACTTGCTTTTTCAAGTTTCCTGTGTCTGCAAGTAGTTTTTTTCAATCACTGCTAACCAGGTTTGCACAGACAGAGAAGTTAAAAAAATTAACCTGAGTAAACAAATGATTTCACTAACTTCATCTATTTTACTACTTCAATCGTTTTCAAGTGTTTGTTTCCTTTATTTTGCAAATACATTTGAATGAATTGAAATCTTACGCAAAGAGAGTTTATAACAGCTCGCGTTATTTAGGTTAAATCTCTCTAGCTAAACCTGACTGTAGGCCAGCTAGAAAGACTGCATATGGTATATATACCGGTAAATTTGAAAAGGCCTGTTATAAAATACGCAGATCGTGCGCTGAGGAGTGACTTCAAAACTTTTTGGTGTGCCCAACGTGATTTTCGAGAGAATTTACCCTCAGAAAGTGTATTCAGTTGGCTGAATCTCTTGTGTGCAACAGACCATTTAAGTTTTAATCAACTCTGAAAACGCCAGCTATTCTTAATGGAGCATCTTGAAGCAAAGGAATCGAGGTCCAGTTTGCGAATGAGCCTCACAATGTTAGTACCATTGCATAATCCAGGGCTTATCTGCTGGATGCACTTTGCTTGCTTTGCTTCAAGATATTTTTAATGTGTTAATTTTCAGAAAAATTGGTACATAAATGTTCATTTTCTTTTTTTTCTTTTTACCAGCATGCAGCTGTTACAAACGGAGGTGGTCGCCCCCATGGTCCTGACATGGAACGGAACTGCCGTGAATCCTTGATCATTATTTTAGATACGCTAGAGAAATGTCTGAATAATGTGCCAAAAGATAGTGCTCGGTTTGAAGAGGCAATGAATGTGAAATTATTACTACGAGAAATATGCCCCTTTTTAGGTAAGTGTCACTCTATTATCTCCAAAGTTAGTTTCTTTTTTTATGTTATTCACCAAAAGCTCTCTTGTGGGCATTCATGGAAAATATGAAAATCTTTGAAAATTTATGAAAGATTTGAAATAGGAAACATTCTGGCGGGTTTTGTACGCATGTGAGTTTCTGAATTTTAAGAATCCATCAAGTTATGATTTTATGTTTCAAACAAGGATGAAGTATTGTTCTTAAATCTGGTATTCCACCGAAGTTCCGGGTAAATCACAATCACAGAAAAATTAAAAACATAAAGGTTGCATCTAGTTGAATCAACCAACTTGGTGAAGACTATGACATTCTTATGTCAGTCAAGATAACGATACTTAAGAGTTCCAGTGTAGACACACTAAAATATAACATCAAGTTCCAATTTTATCTTGTATATTAAGTGTGATTTAGTCCCTGCCAAATAAGTTTACGCTTTCTTCAACCACAGCAGAAAATCCGCCATCTTGATTCTTGCATTTAGGTACTTTACATGTAAAAGTACGGTAACATGGTAAAAGTATGGTAACATGGTAAAAGTATGGTAACTTGGTAAAAGTACGGTAACATACAGTACATGTCCGGGGATTATGATCTGTTCTACAGTGGCGTGCCTAAAGACCAGCGGGCGCGGCAAGAGGTAGCCATAATGATGCGGAAAAGTCTACGTAGATTTGTTGTTAATTGAGAGGCTGCCAACCAGCGCATCATTAAAATGAACTTGAACTAATACAGTCACAAAATCAAGCTGCTCAAGGTGTATGGGGTAAATGATGATGCAACTGTCGCAGTCAAGGACCAATTTTTTGAAGATCTGAATGAGGAAATCACGAAGATGGCAGCTGGCAGGGAAGTAACTTTGGCAATGGCAATAGGATATGAGGTTTTCAAGTGAGAGACAAGTGAAGAGCCGTAGCGACCCCCCGATTTGCCTTAGCTCGGAAAATTAGAGTGAGAAGAGAAAGATTCGAAGGGAGACTATTTTTTAGTGATCAGAAGGATCCTATCTTAGGTGATTTTATTTTTACGTGGCTCAGAGTGAGCCGGCCACTATCCTTGGATAGGAGACCTGAAGGGCCACCAGGCATGTAATGTGTCGGCTTCTGCTTCGCGCAGGAAAGTCAGAAGGACTTGAATTTTGAATACCACTCTGTGCTATTGCACTTATTTTTATTCCTGATTCATAAATGAATCGGCTTCTCCAGATGGAGGATTTCATATAAACGTGAATTTAGAGATGTCTTGAATTTTTCTGGATGATTTTGATAGAACTGCCAAAGGTAGATGATTTAGATTGACTCCGTGATGACCTCGAGAGATTTGCCGCTCCAATTGCTATAGGTGATTCAGCTTACTTGCCAAATTTGCTCCTTGACCTTGCTCGAGGAGCTTGATTCTTGACTTGGGTTCGAGATTCCTTATTAGCTGCTACTTGAGCTTGGTTGAGTATTCGTTTCCTTGGTCTTGGTTAACTTGCTTTGCTGCTTGGCTGGATCTGGATTCTGGATGTTGGTCGGACGGCGCATCACTTGGAAGTGAATTCGTGGAGCGCAGCGTCCCAGTATTTATACCGGTCGCGTGAGAGAGCGTTGCCGCGAGCTTGGCTGTGATTGGCCAACGCGAGCGCTGTGTGAGAAATCGGCGGAAGCACCGCTATGCGAGTTTGAACTTGGCGGGCGCTGTGAGAGAGTAAGTTTGAATTGCGCGCCCCCGCGCGGCTCGTGATTGGTGCGCTGCCTCGCGTTCATTCTGAGGCTGGGGCCAATGGAATCAGCGGAGCTTATTGCTCCCGGGTTCATCACTGTGATTGGATTCCTAATGATTATTATTTTGAAGGTGAAACCGAACATTTACTTCTGAATCAAGTACCTACTTAATTTCAGCATTCATGATTAAATACATTTTTTTCTCAATTCTCTATCAGTTGTTGCTACAATAGGGATATTTTATTCAACCAAGGTCCTAAATTTTACATACTGACAACATTCACGGGAAGGGTACAGTAATAAATCGTGAAAGAAGCGAACCTCTTCAACATTTTTTGCATGTATTTGGTTCTCGTGCAGTCAGTGTATTTCATCACAAAGAAAAAAACAAATACAATTTCGAAGTTTCTTATCGAAAATCGTTGACATTTATGGGAAATGCACTTTATGCATTTATGCATTTTGTATCCCTGCTCCGACGTCACTCTCATTGCCATTGATATAGGCATCCCCATTATCCATTCCAATATATTACAAATAATGTTTGTAAATTTTTTTAAAATCTTTTAATACAACATTGTAAAAATACTTTTAAAAATATTTTTAAGGTATTGTTTCTTCTCATTTTCAAAATATTTTAGAAAATAAATTTTTTTTTTTTTTTTTTTTTTTTT